AATGCTGGTAGTGTGACTTCTACAATAAACTGGGTACATGTGATGTTCCTAATGCAGGAAGTGTGACTTCTACAATAAACTGGGTACATGTGATGTTCCTAATGCAGGTAGTGTGACTTCTACAATAAACTGGGTACATGTGATGTTTCTGATGCAGTTAGTGTGACTTCTACAATAAACTGGGTACATGTGATGTTCCTAATGCTGGTTAGTGTGACTTCTACAATAAACTGAGTACATGTGATGTTCATAATGCTGGTAGTGTGACTTCTACAATAAACTGGGTACATGTGATGTTCCTAATGCTGGTAGTGTGACTTCTACAATACACTGGGTACATGTGATGTTCCTAATGCAGGAAGTGTGACTTCTACAATAAACTGGGTACATGTGATGTTCCTAATGCAGGTAGTGTGACTTCTACAATAAACTGGGTACATGTGATGTTCCTAATGCTGGTAGTGTGACTTCTACAATAAACTTGGTACATGTGATGTTCCTAATGCAGGAAGTGTGACTTCTACAATAAACTGGGTACATGTGATGTTCATAATGCTGGTAGTGTGACTTCTACAATAAATTTGGTACATGTGATGTTCCTAATGCAGGTAGTGTGACTTCTACAATAAATTTGGTACATGTGATGTTCCTAATGCTGGTAGTGTGACTTCTACAATACACTGGGTACATGTGATGTTCCTAATGCTGGAAGTGTGACTTCTACAATAAAGCTGGGTACATGTGATGTTCCTAATGCAGGTAGTGTGACTTCTACAATAAACTTGGTACATGTGATGTTCCTAATGCTGGAAGTGTGGCTTCTACAATAAAGCTGGGTACATGTGATGTTCCTAATGCAGGTAGTGTGACTTCTACAATACACTGGGTACGTGTGATGTTCATAATGCAGGTAGTGTGACTTCTACAATACACTGAGTACGTGTGATGTTCCTAATGCAGGTAGTGTGACTTCTACAATACACTGGGTACATGTCATATTCCTAATGCTGGTAGTGTGACTTCTACAATAAACTGGGTACATGTGATGTTCCTAATGCAGGTAGTGTGACTTCTACAATAAACTGGGTACATGTGATGTTCCTAATGCAGGTAGTGTGACTTCTACAATACACTGGGTACATGTGATGTTCCTAATGCAGGAAGTGTGACTTCTACAATAAACTGGGTACATGTGATGTTCCTAATGCTGGAAGTGTGACTTCTACAATAAACTGGGTACATGTGATGTTCCTAATGCTGGAAGTGTGGCTTCTACAATAAACTGGGTACATGTGATGTTCCTAATGCAGGTAGTGTGACTTCTACAATAAACTGGGTACATGTGATGTTCCTAATGCAGGAAGTGTGACTTCTACAATAAACTGGGTACATGTGATGTTCCTAATGCAGGTAGTGTGACTTCTACAATACACTGGGTACATGTCATATTCCTAATGCTCTACAATAAAATTGTCAATATCTTTACCACTGATAGGTATGCAGGAGATTAGATATGAGTTGCTCCGTTGCTGAAAGATTAGTTAGAGTTAACCAATGGTTAGTTAGAGTTAACCAATGGTTAGAGTTAACCAACGGTTAGTTAGAGTTAACAAGTGATAAGATAGAGTTAACCAATTATTTGTTAGAATTAACCAGTGGTTAGTAAGGGTTAACCAATGATTAGTTAAGAGTAAACCAATGGTTAGTTAGAGTTTACAAGTGATAAGATAGAGTTAACCAATTATTTGTTAAAACTAACCAATGGTAAGTAAGGGTTAACCAATGATTTGTTAAGAGTTAACCAATTGTTAGTTAAAGTTAACAAGTGATCAGATAGAGTTAACGAATTATTTGTTAAAATTAACCAATGGTAAGTAAGGGTTAACCAATGATTTGTTAAGAGTTAACCAATTGTTAGTTAAAGTTAACAAGTGATCAGATAGAGTTAACGAATTATTTGTTAGAATTAACCAATGGTTAGTAAGGGTTAACCAGTGGTTAGTTGGAGTTAACCAATGGTTAGTTAGTTAACCAATGATGAGTTAGAGTTAACCAATGGTTAGTTAGAGTTAAACATTGGTTAGTAAAATATTCAAATTGTTACTAATATAAAAACAAGAGCGTTAAAGGCAATGTTAGCACTAGATTTTTCATTATGGCCTTTCTCAACAAAAATACAGCTATGAAATGATAAAAATGTTTTTAACTATTTTCTATTCATATTTTGAAATTTTTCACAAGCCACTGGTTATCTCTAACCAGCCTTTGAACAACCGGGGCGATCCCCGTTAATATGTTCATCTGTATACTTCACCTGTCCTCTGAATAAATACTGTGCCCAAATACCATTCTTTGACCTGTTGGTGACCTGCATAAACATACTATCAGCTGAATGACTTTGTTTACTTAGATTTAGCTGATCTAGAGCTTGTGCATATCGTAGGTTATTAGACGTACAAGTTCTATCGGCCGTGTTGACACTATTGTTGTCTATTGTAAACTGTGAAGTAGCTAACGGAAGTACTTATATAGAGACGACCAATCATAAAAGTCAATATTTTGTTACGTCAATCTCCTTACGGGATTTACCAGACAAGTACGTCCTCGTGTTGTTATATATAACTGACGGGTCTTATATCCTCACAAAGGCTTTAATTGTAATGTTTCTTGTTTACATTGAGGATCTTTGCATCATTTCGATTTTCCGTAAGAATATGAATTGACGAAGCATGTTTTCAAAAAATATGTAATAAGTTTCATGCACCTTATTTTGAAATGGATCCTCATTTAAGATTCTGCCTAAACATAATGTTAATACTTTTGGAAAAATTCATAAAAATAATGTTTAACAGACTGATATAACCTACATGTAAATTGACGATATTCTCACTCTTTATCTCATTCTTTGATGACGTCACAATGGAGACACAGCGAACTTTCAGCCCATCCCAGATCTGCTGGTAGCTGGGTGATTTTACATGTGTGCAGTAGCACATGATAAAAGATCCCCAAAACTTATGGTTTTATTTCTTCCACTCTCGTTAATTCTTTTTTAATTAAAAATAATTCGCTTAAGCTCACTTTTTTAACTTTTGAAAATAATAGCCAACAATAGTGAAATAGATGCACTGTACCATAGCAGCACAAACAAGAACTTTTGTGAATTGTTTCTACCACATTAAAAGAGCACTTACGGTGACCTGATTTGTACCCACGTGTGTTTACGTTATCAGTTGGGTGTAATGTCAGGTTATTACAACTGATGATGTGCTTTTGAATAAAAGGCTAAAATTTTAATTTCATGACGATGTAGGAATATTCTAATTTGTTAGAATGTACAACAATTTATAGGTGTATCATCATTGAAGCAATCATAGTAATCCAACTATACATAAATCAAATATAATCACGAACTACTTTTCGCGCCTTTATTTTTCATGAGTGCGTGAAGCGTTACCATGGTTATATATATATTGTCATTGCTGTTGGAGTATTCAGCTTTTGGGTATGATACGGAAGGAACAGTTTTAGAGTTGTTGATGAGGATAAATGTTTCAAAATAGCTCGGTCTTCCTATCAGAAATAGAATTCAAACGTCTGTCACACCTCATTTGCTTTTAGTCAGCTCTAGTTATCGATGATCACGAAGTAGTCCCGGTCAAAATTTTACTGTGTCAGCAAATCAAATTGCTCTAAGACTTTATACCACGCGTGAAGGAAACTATTTTGGTTAAAAGTAGTTGTAATGATTGGTTGATTTGATTGATATCGTGGAGTTCGATATCGCGCACTTATTGTGGGATTGTGGGGAAATATGCCTTATTTATAACAAAGAATTATCAGGAAAGCTAGACGAATCATTCACGAAGCTGATCTGTAGTTAAGCTAGTGCTTTTAACGAAAGTTATAGACAGTAAATGAAAAACAAAATCGCTCTTGTGAAATTAATATCAAACAAAGACTGCCAAACCTTTCAAGAATGAAATTGTGAACATCAATTTTATGATAGACGGTGCTACTGTCATAATAACCTGATAGGTATTAAAGTGTAAGATTCGCTAGTGATCAAAACCCGACACAGCTGAACGACAACGCTTTGAAGATTAATGGCATTTTTTAAAAACAAGAATAGGCGGATGTTTTGTTCATTCAACAAAGCATAACTTCGTCATGCCCATTGAGTAAATTTAAATTTAGGATGGCTTTATCTCGCTAGTGAATAGTGTGAAAGTCTTGGTAGTAGTAATACCGAACAGTCCTGTTCTACTAGAGCTGAAACATGTCCCTACGGTTTGGGTAAGATAATATACCGACTGTAGAATAAGTACATGTATTAGGTCTCAAAACATACAATTCATTACTACAGGCATGGTTTTAACATCAGTTAATCAAGTAGCAATAAAATTCATGTTCAATATTTCCGACCAACGCTCGCGTGTCAATATTTCCGACCAACGCCCGCGTGTCAATATTCCAACCAACACTCGCCTGTCAATATTCCAACCAATACTAGCCTGTCAATATATTTCGACCAACTCTCGTCTGTTAATATATTTCGACCAACACTCGCCTGTCAATATTTCCGACCAACGCCCACGTGTCAATATTTCCGACCAACGCCCGCGTGTCAATATTCCGACAAACGCTCACCTATCAATATTCCAACCAACGCTCGCCTGTCAATATATTTCGACCAACGCTCGCCTGTCAATATTCCGACCAACACTCGCCTGTCAATATATTTCGACCAGCGCTCGCCTGTCAATATATTTCGACCAACGCTCGCCTGTCAACATTCCGACCAACGCTCGCCTGTCAATATATTTCGACCAACGCTCGCCTGTCAATATATTTCGACCAACGCTCGCCTGTCAATATTCCGACCAACGTTCGCCTGTCAATATATTTCGACCAACGCTCGCCTGTCACTATTCCGACCAACTCTCGCCTGTCAATATATTTCGACCAATGCTCGCCTGTCAATATATTTCGACCAACGCTCGCCTGTCAATATTCCGACCAACGCTCGCCTGTCAATATATTTCGACCAACGCTCGCCTGTCAATATATTTCGACCAACGCTCGCCTGTCAATATTCCGACCAACTCTCGCCTGTCAATATATTTTGTCCAACGCTCGCCTGTCAATATATTTTGACCAACATTCGCCTGTCAATATATCCGGACGAATGCTCGCCTGTCAATATATTCCGACCAGCACTCGCCTGTCAATATATCCGGATGAATGCTCGCCTGTCAATATATTAGGGCAAATTGTATAAACTCTTAATCATTCACTTATATACATCTATTGTAAAACATTGTTTAACGTTGTGTCATGCGATATCCGAATCACAGAGAGCGGAATTCATCATCACTGGGCGTTATCTGTCGTAACAGTCGAACGTTCATTCACACACAATGGATAATTACAGCGGTAATAAAACTAAAGGCACTGAAACACAGCCATCCGTAGACTAAAGTTTGTTGTACTATATAGAGGAAGGATGTGAACTTCCATCATCCTTCGTAGTTTTATTTAAAAATAGTTCCGTTTTCATTAAATTTTGATATTCTGTTCTCCCTCAACAAAACACGAAAAAAAGAAAGAAACAACAGTATGACATGCAAGCGTTTTTTTAAGTAATACTATTGTAGATTGTATTTTTAAAATGTAAAAAACTAGAAAACAAGGATATCAATATATGACATTGTGTGCTTCATCAACAACTAATATTGTCACTTTCTCATAATTTCTTTGTTTCCAGTTGCTGAAACTTCCTGAACTTTGACCTCGACACAAATATGAAGCTGTCTCCACGAGAACGGGAGAGCCTTTTGGTATTCCAGGTTGGATCCCTGGCCCAGCGGCGTCTCGCCCGGGGGGTAAGGCTTAATCACCCCGAAGCCGTTGCCCTCATCGCATCACAGGTAGGCAATGGTCGCGTTGTTTTTGTATGATGGATTATCATAATAATTATCACTCATTGCTTTACACATAGTATGTCTTCTGTCTGTGTTTTTGTATGTTTTCCTCTGGTTCATCAATAGATATGGTATCAAATTAATGGTCATGAGAAACAAGGAGATTGGGGTTATTACTTTTATAAATCTATCTCATGTTTATTTTTATGATTTACTCGTTGAAGTATCTGTTCCCGTGATTGAAAACTTCTAAATACACTACGTAAAGAACATAGGGAAAGCTTCAAGGACAATTCATCCGTTTTATCATAGCATTTACATTCAGAACGTTTCTTCAACGCAATATTAGACAGAATCTATTTCTGGTGGTACAGTAAAAATCACTTGTGTCGAACACGCATGAGTCGAATACATCGGATGAGTCGAACGTTTCGTTCGGTCCCGATTTTTTTCTCCTCTTCATCTTAGTAAATTAAACACGGATGAATCGAACACTGTTGAATCGAATACTGTGGTTGTGTCGAATATATTTTGTGGTCCGTCCCTTCTAAATCGTACAAAAAATTCCATGTTTGTGTCGAACATTCAGATGCCATGTTGTCTCAGGTAAATTTTCCTGGTCGGTAACGAGTGTGATCGGTCAGCCATAACGGTGTCAACAGGCCTACACGCACAATGTAATTTCAGGGTATCAATCCACCTAATCCTTTTGTTAATACAGGTGCACAGGTAATTATCTCATTTAACCAAGAACTATGCAAACAGCCATTGAAATAAAACAACTCATGTTTACTTTTTGACCGTAAGTTGTTGTTTTATTTCCAACTACTATAAATGTGAGTACAATATGGGTACATGTATATTTTTAAGTATTGTTCTCACGAAGTACCTAGTGTAACGTGCGTCTTTTGTTCAATCTTGTGTGCATTATCCACGTGTTTGTGACAATGATGATTACAGTAACTGTCATTAACCTACGATTTATTTGTATTTTGATAAAAAATAATTGTTATTATAAAATAGAGATGTTGTCTTGTTCTTTTCATTAGTACCTTGCTATCAGACACGATCGGCGAAAATAGGGTCAGTTTAAATATACGATGTCTCGATTACAGGCGATAGACAGAAACACGGTTGAGTCGAACCATCGGATAAGTCGAATATTCTACTTGGTCGACTGCGACTTATCCGAGGTTTACTGTACTCTATTTTTATCTACTTGTATTTATTTACAAACATTATTGACGTGATATAAGATCGTTGTGAGGCTAATCTGTGTCTAGTTCTAAACTTGTACAGAAATATACTGAAATGTCTTTTGTGACATTTCCTGGTCGTGTCACCTCACGTTAATATCACACATGTCACACGTGTCAATAAGTGTTGTAATTCTTGTTGTTTTCGCCATACATAACTATTCACATTTTTGTTTACATAAACGATACAACTCTTGGTGTTATGTGGTCTTTTATTTTCTTCTCTTTCTAATTTGACGATAAACATTTGTTGTGTATACATGATGTAATAGGGTTTTTGTTTGATATAGATAGATCGAGAATTACATGGCGGGTGTCTTCGATGAAGCAGTAGACGCTTACTCTCCCGGAACACATAGTCGTATATTTTACGATCGCTCAGTCGATTGGGTGGTATGAAGGTTTTCATGTTGATTTTGTATGTATCGGTTTGACACTAATCTCTGCCACGTGCTTTGTATATGATAGGTCCAGGAGATGATAAGAGACGGATGTTCTGTATCCGAGTTGATGTCCAAAGGACGACAGCTTCTGGGTATGTTGTCAGAATAAATAGACAGGTTGATCTAACAGCAATCTGATCGCAAGATTAAGTAACCTTGTATTACAAAAACACTGAATAGGCATAATCCATTTAACAAACAGTATGACTCTTTTTAATTTAATCTTTTTTTTCAAAGGATTAAAATGTCAAAATAATGATGATGTAATTTGATATCCTTGCATCATTGGGTTGCATTCTTACATACGAAGCCGGTTTGATGTTGATTAGAATAACATGGGAATGATATAGATATTACAATCCATTATAACATGTGTTTATAGTTTTAGCCGGTGTTTAATATGTTGTGATATTTCAGTATTATTAACATCGTCACCATTGACTACATTAGGCCTGAACTCCTCTGCTTCAACTATGTACCGAAATATAATATACAACATACCTGTCTATATTTAGATTTTTATGATGACGTAATCATACAAGATCGATAAAGATGATAACAGATAACGAATCCCTCCTAGGATTTACATGGTACATTTGATTTTTGTTCCGCATACGACTCGAGGAGCTAAAGTGTCGCCATGTGTTAAAAACTCTGAATTGTTCAATAATTGCAATTACTGTTATCACCCGATCTGTTCTATATTCATGTAAGCAAGACCATCTCAGCTCATGGTTTCAATTATAATTTCTGTCCATACTTTATGGTTAAATTGACTTTGTTTGTGCTGTCATCCCCACACCAGATATATACGTTTGTATGATCATTCTAACACACATTTCCGATTCAGGTTTCACCATAGTTTACCGTTGAATGAAGTCTGTTAATTTATTTCCCATTGTTATAGGTTTCACACATTTTTCGTTTAGTTAAATGTTAGTAACTGCCCCAGAAGTACTTACTCTGTAAACCAGTGATGTAATTTTCTCCATATATATGGTTCTCCAAATACATTTCAAATTATGATTTTCATCTGTTTACCGTTTATTGGGCCCTCGTTGGCTTTTGTTGAAGTTGAACAAAGATCACTTTTATTTCCTATTTTTGTGTAAAGTGTAAATGTAATCAATTCGTTGTATTAAGGTTACCGACAGGTATTGCCTGGTGTACCTAGTATGATAGGAGATGTTCAGATAGAGGGAACTTTCCAGGACGGTACAAAACTGGTAAGTACATAGCAGTACACATGCACCTACATATATAACATATTCAACAATGTAAACATTTTCAAATTTATATTTCTATGCAAGGTTACTGTCATGCTCGGAAAATTTTGAAGCATTTGCTCGTGCAGATATATCTTAGCAAAAGTTCACATTTTTATTGTCTCTTAGGTGACCGTGCATAAGCCAATATGTCGACAAGATGGAGATCTTGAACTTGCTTTGTATGGAAGTTTCCTACCAGTTCCCAGTATGGATGTGTTTGATAGAAATCTGCCTAAAGATGAGGTATCACTCTATAGATGTCCTTTTTATAGAATTTACATGCACTGTATACATGTACTGTGACCCAGTAAGACTTTCTGAATTTCTATGTCAACGGCTGAGTTCAGTCACGCTGACACACTACGACTGTATCACGAGGTAACATACTTATGACGAAAGGTATACCCGTAACAGTTTACATGAACAGCACGCACCGTTGCTTTCGTCGATATATGGTTAAATCTCTAACGACGCAGTCCACGAAAGTAACACCCAGTCACCACAAAATCGAGCTCCCTGAATTAACCTCTCACACAGGGAAAAACATAGATTTACTCTTTTACCTCATCAGAGAGAAATACCCACACTTTCGGTGAGGGTAAGATTAATAGGAATGTTTTCTCTAGTTGTAGGATAGGGCAGAGAAATTTCTACACGAGGAGGAGATTCTTGTTTGTCAAACCCGAGGCTTTGCCAGGGTTAGACTGTCAGAATTCTCCTTCGAGGGTAGAGATTTATCTGTCTTGCCCTAAAGCTTGGAAATTATCCATTTTTTACCCCTTATCTCCAACATATTATAGATAGAATACACAGAAAAATATGTCTTGAATAATTCGAAATAAAAATTAGGCAAATAACAACATTATTGTTACCGATTTGTAATCTCCGTAGGGTGTAGAAATAATACTTAAATAGTAATAAATGAAACATGTCTGATCATTCCATCTAAGAATAGACTACAATTATTGTATATATAAGTTATCTGTATAGGGTTTTAGAATAGACTACAAGTATTGTCTATATAAGTTATCTCTATAGGGTTTTAGAATAGACTACAATTTTTGTTTATATAAGATATCTCTATAGGGTTTTAGAATAGACTACAATTGTTGTATATATAAGCTATCTCTATAGGGTTTTAGAATAGACTACAATTGTTGTATATATAAGTTATCTCTATAGGGTTTTAGAATAGACTACAATTGTTGTATATATAAGTTATCTCTATATGGTTTTAGAATAGACTACAATTGTTGTATATATAAGCTATCTCTATAGGGTTTTAGTATATATAGACTACAATTGTTGTATATATAAGCTATCTCTATAGGGTTTTAGAATAGACTACAATTATTGTATATATAAGACAAAAGCTATGTGTATAGTGTTTTAGAATAGACTACAATTGTTGTATATATAAGTTATCTGTATAGGGTTTTAGAATAGACTACAATTGTTGTATATATAAGTTATCTGTATAGTGTTTTAGAATAGACTACAATTGTTGTATATATGTTATCTGTATAGGGTTTTAGAATAGACTACAATTATTGTATATATAAGACAAAAGCAATTGTTGTATATATGTGTATAGTGTTTTAGAATAGACTACAATTGTTGTATATATAAGTTATCTGTATAGGGTTTTAGAATAGACTACAATTGTTGTATATTTAAGTTATCTGTATAGTGTTTTAGAATAGACTACAATTGTTGTATATATGTTATCTGTATAGGGTTTTAGAATAGACTACAATTGTTGTATATATAAGTTATCTGTATAGTGTTTTAGCATAGACTACAATTGTTGTATATATAAGTTATCTGTGTAAGATATAGACTGTAAGGTTTTAGAATAGACTACAATTATTGTATATATAAGTTATCTGTATAGGAATAGACCACAATTATTGTATATATAAGACCTACAATTGTTGTATAAAAGCTCTCTGTATAGTGTTTTAGAATAGACTACAATTGTTGTATATATAAGTTATCTGTATAGGGTTTTAGAATAGACTACAATTGTTGTATATATAAGTTATCTGTATAGGGTTTTAGAATAGACTACAATTGTTGTATATATAAGTTATCTGTATAGGGTTTTAGAATAGACTACAATTATTGTATATATAAGTTATCTGTATAGGGTTTTAGAATAGACTCTCCAATTATTGTATATCTCCAATTATTGTATATATAAGAGAAAAGTTATCTGTATAGGGTTTTAGAATTGACTCTCCAATTCATGTAAGGACGAGACAAGCAATACTTTTTGTAAATTTTTGGAATCAAAACCCGGAATATGTTATTCTAGCCTTGTTATATTCTTGCCGATGAAGAGGATTGACTAGAAATATATGAAGTAGCACTTTCCTAATTAAATTCACTTGTTCAGTATTTCTTTGCAAAATATCGAAAAGTAAACACTGACGAAAACACGCTATTCGTTTTATGACTGGTATAAAATGAATCTTATAACTAAGAAAGGACACGTTGATCATGACATGTTAATGTCCTTTTCGAACCGAGACTACACGTTCTTCCACGGACAACAGTTATTGTATAACAGCCAATGTATATTTTATACCTTGTTCTCATTTGAGAACATGACATTACTTACATTGATTGACAAGGATTTATTCGTCGGTTGTCGTCGATGAAGTAGAAGGCTCTTACTCTTCCGGAGCACCTGGTCTTGCTTGTACATTTTCAAGAGCCTCCGTTGAACGTTTTCTTTTGTCCATGTTTCGTCCTAGTTTTATTGAATTCGAGTTTAGATTAAATTCTTTTCACATGTTTGTATATTCTTGTTTTTAAAGAAACGTTTTGGATTTTCAGACCTCTGATAATTCTGTAGACGCCCCTGTTCACGTGACCCCGGGTGAAATGTGTGTTTCTCCTGGTGAACTTGAACTCAATCAAGATCGCAAGACTGTGACACTTGAAGTAACCAGTACCTGTGACAGACCAATTCAGGTAAAATGTGTTTGTGTATTCATATATAGAAGCATATTTGTATATAATTAATAGTTTATATAACAAAATCTATCACAATAAACATGGTCATCCATTGTAAGTTGGACCACTAAGTTACAACTGAAAGGTAACTTGTTTAAAACTCCCTCTGCTATGTCGGATGATATTTATCTTATTCACAAATTATCTTTGTTTTAAATTTTATTAATGCATAACTGGAGATACAGACATTGAAACTTCTTAACTTGTAGGTCGGTAGTCATTACCACTTCCTGGAGGTTAACAAATATCTGAACTTTGACCGAGAAGCTGCTTACGGTATGAGACTGGTAAGTATGCTTCACTTCAGGATAAGAAAACCATTACACATTTTATCAATTTAAGCAAATAGTGTCTCATTCCCACAGGAGAAAAGATTAAAAAAAAAAACAACGGAACCAACAGGTCAAACAACGAGCATCAAACCTAATCCCACCCAACGATAATAGAATATTTCTTATTGAGAGTTTTAAAACTTCACTTTAATCTTTCTATGTCGTCAAAAATTTATAGAGACTTTTATGAGTTATCAGGGGTTTACATATAGGAACATCCTAAGTTTCTCAAGACCTCTATAAGTTGTCAAGTATTTACAGGGATCTTTCTATGTTTTCAAGTATTTACAGGGATCTTTCTGTGTTGTCAAGTATTTACAGGGATCTTTCTGTGTTGTCAAGTATTTAAAGGGATCTTTGTGATTTGTCTAGTATTTACAGGGATCTTTCTGTGTTGTCAAGTATTTACAGGGATCTTTCTGTGTTGTCAAGTATTTAAAGGGATCTTTGTGATTTGTCTAGTATTTACAGGGATCTTTCTGTGTTGTCAAGTATTTACAGGGATCTTTCTGTGTTGTCAAGTATTTAAAGGGATCTTTGTGATTTGTCTAGTATTTACAGGGATCTTTCTGTGTTGTCAAGTATTTACAGGGATCTTTCTGTGTTGTCAAGTATTTACATGGATCTTTTTGTGTTTTCAAGTATTTACAGGGATCTTTCTGTGTTTTCAAGTATTTAAAGGGATCTTTGTGATTTGTCTAGTATTTACAGGGATCTTTCTGAGTTGTCAAGTATTTACAGGGATCTTTCTATGTTTTCAAGTATTTACAGGGATCTTTCTGTGTTGTCAAGTATTTACAGGGATCTTTCTGTGTTGTCAAGTATTTACAGGGATATTTCTGTGTTGTCAAGTATTTACAGGGATCTTTCTGTGTTGTCAAGTATTTACAGGGATCTTTCTGTGTTGTCAAGTATTTACAGGGATCTTTCTGAGTTGTCAAGTATTTACAGGGATCTTTCTGAGTTGTCAAGTATTTACAGGGATCTTTCTGAGTTGTCAAGTATTTACAGGGATCTTTCTGTGTTGTCAAGTATTTACAGGGATCTTTCTGAGTTGTCAAGTATTTACAGGGATCTTTCTGAGTTGTCAAGTATTTACAGGGATCTTTCTGTGTTGTCAAGTATTTAAAGGGATCTTTCCATGTTGGCAAGTATTTACAGGGATCTTTGTGTGTTGTCAAGTATTTACAGGGATCTTTCTGTGTTGTCAAGTATTTACAGGGATATTTCTGTGTTAAGTATTTACAGGGATCTTTCTGAGTTGTCAAGTATTTACAGGGATATTTCTATGTTGTCAAGTATTTACAGGGATCTTTCTATGTTGTCAAGTATTTACAGGGATATTTCTGATTTGTCAAGTATTTACAGGGATACTTACTGTTTTAAAATGTAATTAGAATGGATCCCTTTAGTGCATCATGATATTGATACATGGAAATGGTGCTGGAAATATCATATATCAATTTTCATTCTGTTGCCACATCAATTTTCCTTCTGTTGCCACATCAATTTTCCTTCTGTTGCCTCACCAATTTCCTTTTGTTGCCTGTTGTGTTAAGTATAAAATAATTTAGGGCCATACCATTTGTTATCATATGGATTCTACATTAACTTACTGATGATCTAAATAAACACTCTGTTGATTCAGAACATCCCGGCTGGAAACGCAGTGCGATTTGAGCCTGGTGAGACAAAGTCCATCAATTTGGTACAGGTTGGAGGTAAACAGTAAGTGGCATTCATATCCTTTTTGACGTCTATTTCTTATGACTTAAAACAATAAAGTAAATGCATTTGATAACATACAGAAGAGCATCACGTATAACACACACGTAACATATATTGAGACTGCCGTCGGGCTATTTCTGTATTGAATGTTATAGTAAATGGTTTTTTGGTTCTATATTATACCTTATTTTACGTACTTCCTGGTTGACTGTAGTAGGGCCACGTAATTTCTTATAGGAAATGATTTTTACAAGTCGTCCAAAGAAAATTTAATTGGTTTGTCTATTACGATTACAGTTGTTTCACGATAATAACGTTTAACTTATGTTTCAGAAACAAAAACATAAACTACTTTAAAGAAAAACGTTCATTTCTGTAATGAAAATACTTTTTAAGGATATATCCTTTTGATAAGGTTAACATATGGTGTGATCGACCTAGGGCGATATTTTGTGTTTGGTTTAGAAAAACATGTATTGACCTCACCAAAACGTTATAATGGTATCTTTAAAACTAATTTAAGAAAGCCGGGTAGAACTTATGTAAACTTTCAAATTTAATCAATGACCAAAACAGGTAACTTTTTATCAAAAATGACAAAACGAACAGCTATGAAACAGATAAGCATCGGACTAGTAGTGCTCACACAAAATGTCTCGTACTCAAAGTGTAGCATGTGTAGTAAGTTAAATTAAGACGTCAACATTATCGCGTCAGCAAGCAGTATTAGATACGTTATTGGAATAGCCAATCTGAAACTGAATTTCAAAGATAATTTAAAACAATGTATTTAATTGTATATGACTTGTTTCCAGAGTATTAAGAGGTGGCAATGCATTATGTGATGGTCAGTTGGACCCTGACAGATTAAGTGGTATCCTTAAAAAAGTGAAGGATGGACAGTTTCAACATCGACCTGAGGTTAATATAACTGTATTTCACCATTGTATAGACTACAATTGTATTGTATAAATGCCAAACTGGAATATATTTCCATGATAAAATGATAGAGATGTTGTGTTAGAACGTGAATGGGGATTAATATAAGCTGGTGGTCCGATCCTCTTTTTATATTCTGTATTTGTAATTGTATTTATTATGTGTAAAAGTTGAAAATAAGAAATTGTTTAAACTAACAGACATGAGATAAACAGGGTGGATTATATATTTACGGTTCACTAAGCTTTAGTGTCAGGAAACTCCTCATAACATACTTTCAATTTAAATGTTTAATGTACCTTACTTTGTTAAGATAAGCAGATAAGCCGCGTAGCACACCGTAAAGCGACGTCCGTTGACGGTTTTCTCACATCCAAAATCTCTCGAAAATCGCTCATTTGTACATAATGGATGTTTCCCTCGACATCTGACAGGTGAAGGAAGAAATCTGAATATACTTATGCCCTCTGTTCATGATCTGTAGAGATAAAAATAGTTAAGATAGATAAATGCAAAATGAAAACTTACCTGTGAAATGTTTATTTTTCCGATGTTTCATTTTAAATGCCACTTTGTTATCCAACCACAGATAAATTTGCCTGTAAAATATATTTTGTCTTTGTTCTTAGTTTTACATAATGCTTTTCTGGTTGTTTACAGGACATGCGAATCATAGTTAACCAGTATTTACGAAACAATGTTTCGTTTTAAGTTTAAACGTTTAAACATATTAAACAATATAAGACATACATACAATATATACGGGATGGAAAAAGAAGTTAGAGCTTATATTAATTCATATCACAAATTCCTCGCGTGCGTTTTATTTTTGTTATAATATAAGAATAATTGCGCAGCTGTATTTCATGTGCGATTATAGGCTATATGTTCGTGAGAATTTTTATTACAGTCAGAAAATTCATGGTATTTAGGTGAGAAATGTGAGTAATATGGATGAATGAAGAACTCCCTCGTACTATCATTGAATCACACGTTGGGTGGAATTAAAAGGGTTTTAAAATGTCTGCAAAATAAAATCTGAAGACGGTCCTTATGCCAATCTATCAAACTTTTTTGAGGTTTGCTTCTAAGAAACCTCAATAGAACAGACATTGGAATATATACAGTTATGGGATCGCACAACGAAACACGACGTGCGATTGTGCACGATGTCTGCATGCTGCGAGAACTATGTGTGCACGATAAAAAAAATTGGACGATGAATGATGTGTGGTTCTATCGCACAGGTGTACGGTTCTATCGTATTTAAAATAAATGACTTATGAATAAATATAGGATAGGCATTATTTTCTAGCTATACAAGACTTCATCAATGAATATTTCCTAATTAATCCATATATTTATAGTCTAGAGAAGCACGGACTGAATAGTTACACATATATATACACTCATAATTAAGATTGTTTTTGTGCTAGACGTAACAAGTCCTAGCGTTCAGACTCTCGTTATATGAACATTATATATGTAAACATAAAATGCATATCTCTTTTTCCATCGGCAATGAAATATCTAAACGTTTTTACCACTAGAAAGGGATTTTATTGTCATTACTTTTGCATAAATGTCTGTCGTTTTCGGATGAAAACCTATGAGCACTCAGATAAAAGTTAATGTTATGTTTGCTAAAAGGGATACCTAGTCGATATGGATCACCATACAATGTCTGAAATGTACATCTTACTATGTATATGACCTCTGTAATCACCGATCAGGATTTAACAAACCTATGAATTATTCCGTTTAATGTTAATCTGTAATATTATACAGACATTTAATCAAACCGCATGTAATGTGCAGTCATCTTATCGCACAGTTGTGCGCTTGATACTTTATAGTGTGGAAACAAAGATGCACGATGATATGAACATTTTTATGAAAGGATTTGAACATAAACTGTTCTATGATGGTAGTATCTAGACCATCACACTGTTATGTTTTTCTCTGGAATGGATGAAAAAGGAAACTGTATCATTCCCCGAGGTTTGCCATAACCTGCACGCCACGTTTTGATTCATTCGAAGGGTGGCGCAGTTTAAAACATACACATGTATTTGGTGTTCTGTTCAGATTTTCAAATATCTCCATTTTGCTAAATTCATTTTTGGACGATTGCACCATCCCATCTTGATTTTGACTTTGACCACTTTGGATTTTCGCTTTGAAGATTTCAAATGTAGGCCCTTAGCACCACTGACGAGCATTAAAAGGACGAAACAGCTGTATGGTGCAATTTAATTAATTGTATTAAAAGGTGCTTTTCACGTGTGGTTTTTGCACAATCTTAATGATGATCTGGTGTAAATACAACGTTAAAACGGTCATGTAAAATGCACCCGAGTTTGATGGTAGTTATCCCCCCTTGACAAAATAGAAAGGTAAATGGTTTCGACAATATCGTATTTAGATGAACTTTTGGATATTATGGGGTATTAGGTTAAATTACCTATATTTAGGTTACATGTTTAGACATAACATTGTGTAAAGATGATAAATATGATATTTGAGTAAATGGTGTAATTTCTTAATGGAAACTATTTTGGAAATATGCAATTTAAAGTCATGAATATGTTTGGCAACATATTGAGACTATACGCAGTATAACTTTAAGATCTTTAAGAAAATGAAATGTATCCAATATAAACAAGCATCATATTTTTTATACTGAAAGAAATATTTTCTGTACAATCAAGTTCCCGGTGTCGTACGCTCGCTACCTTTTACTTTGAGCTTGCCGTCATATCTAATACAAAAGGTTGAGATTATTTGTATGATTACAGCCTAATGCTAAGCCGTCAACAAAGAAATGCTTGATTACTAGGGACCAGTATGCCTACATATACGGACCTACAGTTGGAGATAAGGTAAGAGGATATAAGAGTTATCTCCCCTACTTAATCTGGTTGGTATCTTTTTTTGATGTGATTGATTCGAGATATTAGGTTTGTCTCTAAAAGCACGTGTTTATACATACAAAGGAAACCAAGTATACAGAAATAATAGGTATTGGTTCTCGCCCAAGGGCCCGAGGGGCGAAGCCCAAAAGAGGATCGGAAAGTTGTTGTTTTTTTAAATCCTACTCCTCCTGGTGGTATGAAGGGATACGTTAGAACTTGGCCTCGGTACACTGGGGTCGTAGGGGCAGTTCCCAATAGGGAAAATAGAACAAAATGTTTACATTCGTTTTTTGTCTTCTGAAGAAATATCAGGATAATTTGGTCTGAAGCGTACATGGGTAACGGGGAATCAATTAGTGTAAAAGTTGGGTCTCATTTAGTTTGAAGCAGTTGATTATGAATAGTTTATCTGACTTTTGTTTGACCATAAGGCTGGTACCAAATTGGGAAATTTCGCCAGACATTAATTTTCATATTTGAAATTCTTTGTTAAATTACTGAATGGCTAAAATAGCTAGATGAGCTATGCAGGCCCCTTGGGCCTCTTGTGTGTAAAATATAATACATTTGCAAATACAGTTATGGACAGGAAAGTATTTCAAAATCATACTTTTTGCAATGCATTTCTCGCCATTCTGTATACAGCTACGACTGGGCGATACAAGTTTGATTATTGAGGTGGAGAAGGACTATACAGTGTATGGAGAGGAACTGAAGTTTGGTGGAGGAAAGGTAATGAGAGAGGGGATGGGCCAGGCGGCAAATAGATCTAACAGCAGCTGGGACGTCCTCGATACCGTCATTACTAATGCACTCATTCTGGACGCTGTCACTGGAATTGTCAAGGCCGATGTTGGGATAAAGGTGTGTAGAAAGTTTTTCTTAAACGGAACTACAAACTGGGAACCAACTTCTGGCTCCCGGTATGTGTTGACGATAGAAATTGATATTTAAGTTCTCGTGTATAAACTTGATCCTATATCTAATATTTATCGTGAAGTGAAATAGCTTGTACGCGATTTGGGAAAAAATAATAATACGTGTATTTAGATATATCACAATATGGAGATTATAACGGTAGATTCTGTTTGATGCTGCTTAAAAAATATCATTCATGTTTTCAATTTGATTGACATGCAGGTGTCATCGGTGACGCTTAATCTTCTAGAACGCCTGTTCCTACTTTTTCAGACATCTCATTGTTAAATGTTTGGTTCATGTTTACTCGTCTGTTAACATGCCGTGTTTTCGTGTTGTTGTTATATTAGTTATTATTAATATATTTGTTTTAGTTATGCAGTTTGATGAAAGAAGAATGAATCAATGCAACTTGTGTTTAAGATAAAATAACACGTGTATTTAATCAAGAATAATTTGGTTTTTAATTACTAGGATGGAAAGATAGCAGGAATAGGGAAAGCTGGAAATCCTGACATTATGAACGGAGTCACACCAGTAAGCATTATTATGTTCATACAGTCATACAAATTCCTATAGTGAAATGGTTCCATACCTTCATACATTCAAAATGTAACGCGGAAAATGACATCTTTTTGACGCCATGCATTCAATCAATTACGCGGTATGGTGAAGTGTTGTTTTACACGTGTGTTACGATATGATGAATACTTTATAATTGGTTGAAGGCCTTTTCTGATTGGGATATGATCCTGTATGTTGACAACATGCATGTACATACTTGTATATCTTATCAATCTGATCAAAATCTCCTCATTGGGTGATCGGATGGTGCAGTGGTAACACACTCGCCTTTCACCAGCCCGTCAGGGGTTTAATTCCCGGAACGGACGTGAAAAGGTTGAAGTCACCTGCCCGACAACGTGGGTTTGCCAGGAGTATTCCGGTTTCCTCCCACAATAGGACCTCGCGCACTCATATTTCGGCCCAACGAAAGTGATTAGGACAAGTTCAAATAAGTTGTTTTGCAATGGTTGCAAAAAAAATGAATTTTATATTATTACTATCAATGATATCTTGTGCTGCCTATACTGCTGTTGAATATGTCCTAGATTTAAAAAAAAATTGATTGTACTTTAGTATTGGTTAGATATGGACTTATGAGAGTCGAATACATCGATCCTGTGTTGAACGCGCTTATATATGTTGCCTATGTTGAACTTTTTTTGTGAATGAGTTTGACTTTTCATGTCAACATGAATCTGTAATAGTTGATAATATAATCTAATCATAAACAGGGACTTGTCGTGGGCGCGGGCACAGAGGCCATTGCCGGAGAGGGTCTCATTCTGACAGCCGGGGCTCTCGATGCGCATGTCCATTTTATCTGCCCTCAACTAGTAAGGGAAGCAGTGGCATCTGGTGTCACCACAATGTTTGGCGGTGGCACCGGACCAGCAACAGGCTCTAACGCTACTACATGTTCTCCAGGACCCAACCATATCAGGTAAACCGTTTGTCCCCGTGTATGAATTGTAAATATTGTTTAAAACCCCTATCTATTCAATAAAGTGAACAACTCATTTGGGAACAATGTTTGTTTGATCACAGAAGTTAAGAATCTATGTATATCTGTTCATAGGGATATGCTACAGAGTACGGACGCCTTCCCGCTGAATTTCGGGTTTACTGGGAAAGGCAATTCTTCCTTTTCTGGAGACATTGCCTCAGATTTAGAGGAGCAGGTTGTCGCTGGCGCCCTAGGGTATGTCTAACCTTACATAAAAACCATTGTCAATATAACAAGCAGTGCCAAAACGACTCTTAAATGACAATATCCAGAGCCGTTAGGTTTAGTTGCAATACAATATGGTGGCAACATCTAGGTCTGACTTAATAATAATTGTATTACAAGTGTATCAATATTCGGTCTGCCAGGCTAGTATTTGATAAATAAGTGCCAGAGCATCTGGCATCGAGTTTTTCACAGTTCTTATCACTGACGAGTTATATAATGAAGAAATAGCTGTATGATGCAGTCTGATTCATTTTATGGCTTTTGACAGTTCTTATCACTGACGAGTCATAGAATGAAGAAATAGATGTATGATGCAGTCTAATTCATTGTGTAGCTTTTCTGTATCTTATTCAAAATTTGCATTAAAAAGTGCTTTTCACTTGCGCAATCCAGCAGATATGTTAATCGCATACGATTAAGTTTTCTGTCTGGTTTTATATGACACTAATAACCGATTGAAGTAAACTGGGTACAATATGAATATGTGTAACAGATTGAAGTTACATGAAGACTGGGGGACCACACCTTCAGCTATAGACACATGTTTAAAAGTCGCTGATAAATATGATGTGCAGGTAAGTGTGCTCAGCTGTAGAGGTTTGATGGATACACATAAAGATATGTTTGCAGATATACCTCCGCCGGTATATAATTATATCTAGACTGTATTAGAAGAGTTCACGTTGTTTAGAGTGGTGTGATACTGAATTATGTCGGCGATTGACAGACAAGTACACAACAAAGAGAGAGAAGAAGGTTGATGAAGCTCAGGGGAAGTTTCACGGTCTTTATAATGATCTCGCCGAGAGAGATATCCCATAATATGGCGTTTCTGCGGTGTAACATTCCTGCCAAAGTGACAAAAAATGAAAGTAATATAAGCAATCTGAGTCTAACTTCCCTTCATATGATAAGATGAAAGTTGAAAACTGTAAATAAACATTCAACTTCTTTCAGTTGGCATTCATAGGATATGAATGCTGTATGCTAATTAGTATACATCTTCATTATGGTCATCAGTATACCTCATCATTATGCTCATTGGTATACCTCATCATTATGCTCATCGGTATACCTCATCATTATGCTCGTCAGTATACCTCATCATTATGCTCGTCAGTATACCTCATCATTATGCTCATCAGTACACCTTTTCATTATGCTCATCAGTATACCTTTTCATTATGCTCATCAGTATACCTCATCATTATGCTCATCAGTATACCTTTTCATTATGCTCATCAGTATACCTTTTCATTATGCTCATCAGTACACCTTTTCATTATGCTCATCAGTATACCTTTTCATTATGCTCATCAGTATACCTCATCATTATGCTCATCAGTACACCTTTTCATTATGCTCATCAGTATACCTCATCATTATGCTCATCAGTATACCTTTTCATTATGCTCATCAGTATACCTTTTCATTATGCTCATCAGTATACCTTTTCATTATGCTCATCAGTATACCTCATCATTATGCTCATCAGTATACCTCATCATTATGCTCATCAGTATACCTCATCATTATGCTCGTCAGTATACCTCATCATTATGCTCATCAGTATACCTTTTCATTATGCTCATCAGTATACCTTTTCATTATGCTCATCAGTACACCTTTTCATTATGCTCATCAGTATACCTTTTCATTATGCTCATCAGTACACCTTTTCATTATGCTCATCAGTATACCTCATCATTATGCTCATCAGTATACCTCATCATTATGCTCATTAGTATACCTCATCATTATGCTCATCAGTATACCTTTTCATTATGCTCATTAGTATACCTTTTCATTATGCTCATTAGTATACCTCATCATTATGCTCATTAGTATACCTCATCATTATGCTCATCAGTATACCTCATCATTATGCTCATTAGTATACCTCATCATTATGCTCATTAGTATACCTTTTCATTATGCTCATTAGTATACCTCATCATTATGCTCATCAGTATACCTTTTCATTATGCTCATTAGTATACCTCATCATTATGCTCATCAGTATACCTCATCATTATGCTCATCAGTATACCTCATCATTATGCTCATCAGTATACCTCATCATTATGCTCATTAGTATACCTCATCATTATGCTCATCAGTATACCTCATCATTATGCTCATCAGTATACCTCATCATTATGCTCATCAGTATACCTTTTCATTATGCTCATTAGTATACCTCATCATTATGCTCATTAGTATACCTTTTCATTATGCTCATTAGTATACATATTCGTTATGCTCATTAGTACACCTCATATTACCTTTCATCATTATGCTCATCAGTATACCTCATCATTATGCTCGTCAGTATACCTCATCATTATGCTCATCAGTATACCTTTTCATTATGCTCATTAGTATACCTCATCATTATGCTCATTAGTATACCTTTTCATTATGCTCATCAGTATACCTTTTCATTATGCTCATTAGTATACCTCATCATTATGCTCATTAGTATACCTTTTCATTATGCTCATTAGTATACCTCATCATTATGCTCATCAGTATACCTCATCATTATGCTCATCAGTATACCTCATCATTATGCTCATCAGTATACCTCATCATTATGCTCATCAGTATACCTCATCATTATGCTCATTGGTATACCTCATCATTATGCTCATCAGTATACCTCATCATTATGCTCGTCAGTATACCTTTTCATTATGCTCATTAGTATACCTCATCATTATGCTCATCAGTATACCTCATCATTATGCTCGTCAGTACACCTCATCATTATGCTCATCAGTATACCTTTTCATTATGCTCATTAGTACACCTTTTCATTATGCTCATCAGTATACCTCATCATTATGCTCATTAGTATACATCATCATTATGCTCATCAGTATACCTCATCATTATGCTCATTGGTATACCTCATCATTATGCTCATCAGTATACCTCATCATTATGCTCGTCAGTATGCCTCATCATTTTGCTCGTCAGTATGCCTCATCATTATGCTCATCAGTATACATATTCGTTATGCTCATCAGTACACCTTTTCATTATGCTCATTAGTATACATATTCGTTATGCTCATTAGTATGCCTCATTATTATGCTCATTAGTATTCATATTCGTTATGCTCATTGGTATACCTTTTCATTATGCTCATTAGTATACATCTTCGTTATGTTAATTAGTAAACCTGTTAATTCCGCTGTGTACCATGTTCTTATTTGGGAACAAGACATTCCATGCAAAGATTTACATGGCGGGCGTCGTCGGTGAAGCAGAAGATGCTTATATTGAACCCGGTTTTATTCTTATACTGTATAATGATTCTCCGTACGAATATTTCTTTGGTTCATACCTTGCCATAATTTAATGTATTTTGAGTTTTATTTTGATTCTGTTGACGTGTCTGTATTTTCATCTTGTTTTGCTAGCTCTAATTTCACACCACTCTCGCGTTTATGTTCGTATGTAAACATTTACAATCTTGTATATTCCTGTTGTATCATTGCCTGGGATACTTTAATAACAGTAACACACTATGTATCTGATTTTATTTGAAGTTTGGTTTTGGTGTTGTATATATTGCAAGGTTGATGGTTTTGTGTAGGTGACGATCCATACTGATACACTGAATGAATCATCATGTGTGGAGCAGACCATTGACGCATTCAGGGGACGGACGATACATACGTACCACTCTGAGGGGGCAGGAGGGGGGCACGCCCCTGATATTATCCGAGTGTGTGGAGTTAAGAATGTCCTGCCTTCATCGACGAACCCCACTCGACCCTACACAGCCAATACCATTGATGAACACTTGGATATGCTCATGGTTTGCCACCATCTTGACAAGTATGACTTTTGTAATTCTGCCATCGTAATATAATTCAATTAATTACATGCTTTCCTTTCAATTCTTTAAGAAAACAACACACTGTCTAATTATTCAAATCCATCTTGACGGCACTTTAATACATCATACTGATTATGTTAAGATCTTGTCTTTTTCGCCATTTGCTTTAAACTTATATAAGTCTTTTTCATAGCATTTTAATTTGTGTTAATAATGCATACTGAATATTATATTACAAAGATAATTTTAACTTCACTTCATTACTTATATAATGAGGAACAGAGGTACGTTGTAAATTACTATTTTCCAAAACATATATTTCACAGCATTTTGTAAGTTTGTCATCGGGTGTTCTGTCTGATACCATCACACACCAAATGAACAGTTGCTATAGAAAGAGAACGGGTATTAATGCTTTCATACATTTACAAACGATATTTGTTTTAAATATGTTCATTCTAGATGCATGATATAAACTTTATTTATATTACAACATTTGCGAAACAAGCTATCAGCTTATATTAATCACTCTCGTTAGCCCGGATTAAAGCGCATGGATGATTTTACTGTTGGAGGAAACCGGAATACCCGGGAAAAATCCACGTTGTCGGGCAGGTAACCCCTACCTTTTCACGTCCGTTCCGAGAATCAAACCCAGACGGCTAGGTGAAAAGGGAGAGGGCGTTTCCACTGTACCACATGATATACATGTTCATTGTTGTGTTTTCTAAATCAGGAAATTACATGATAACGAGACAATATTGTGTTTACTTATAGAAATATCAAAGAGGATGTAGCATTTGCTGAATCACGTATCCGAGCTGAGACTATTGCAGCTGAAGATATTCTGCATGACATGGGCGCCATTAGCATCATGGCTTCAGATTCACAGGTCAAATCATCAAAAACTAGAATATTTCAGTAAAATCGACCTGGTATATGTGATGTATTCACAATTATCCATCTTTTGATTTCAGCTAACTTTATAACACTAATTTTCGGACGAGGAATGACCAAGATTGTCTAACTTTGGACAGATGAAATGTATCTTTTTGCAAGCCTTTGAGGGGTCGGGGATAGTTCCCGATATAATAATGACAGAGGACCTTCAAAAACATTCCCGCTTTATTAAAAATATTTACGAATAACGGAATTTGTTATAAATCATAAATATGTTTTATTTTATACGAACGACATTTATTAAACTTTTTTTTCAAATATATATATCTAAATGTATACTATTTATTTTAAGTGTATATATTATAATATCGTATATTTCAAATACGATGTAGGTTTCCTTTTGTTCTATAAATAATGCAATGTAAGTATACATATATCTATACCTGGTGTAGGAATTCATGAGTCATTTTAAGTAATAACCTCTTAAAATTGATGATCGGATCAAATAAAAATCGTTCAAACACGATTGCGCATCTCGCATGATGTATTGGAAAGGACAAAGAAATTATCCTATTTCTGGTTGACAGTGCCATCATTGAATTTGATGGTAAGATATTCTAACACCGACTTTTGGCATACCCACGGAAATAACTGCGATATTTAGTGGTCTTGATGTTCGTTAGTCAAAATTTTCATTGATGCTTAGAATATTTTAAATTCTTTGTTATGAAATTGTGCGACAGATCCAATATACCTTTAATATGATTATTTTTTATTAACACGTCACACTTTCAATTGTTTGTAGGCGATGGGACGTGTAGGAGAAGTGATCTGTAGGACCTGGCAAACTGCTGACAAAATGAAGCTTTTCAGAGGGAGACTAGCGGACGAAAAGGTTGGTAGTCTCCAGATCAACAGGTCTTTAGGACTAATTTACTGTAATGTTATTTTATTTCGCGAGGAATATTACTTCGCAGTTGTCGCGGTTTAGGCTACAACATTTTGTGCAGTGTTATCAATGGTAACCATGAATAAAGGCAAATAACATTATATATTTTCAGAAAGTTTTTTTAAGGTGTTAAAAAATCCCGCTTTAATGAACTTGAATGTAGTGATTTCACCACGAAGAGAAACAACTGTATTGTAATTCAGATATGTATCTAACTTTTGAATATGTAATGTCTGTTGCCACAGTCATCAGCAAGAGAAATCAATCAAAACTTCCTCGCCATTTAGTTACATGTACTATTTCAAAAGTATCCTTGTTTATTCAATTATGTAGTGTTTTGTCTTATAAATCTTGACGAAAATTCAATTTCAATGTCATATTCTTGCTAAATCACATAACGATATGTTTTCCTTTTTTTCTCTTTGTAATGAGTAAGGTATTGACTTCATCCTTTAGAATTATACAAAAATTATATATTGAATTACAGGGTGAAAATGACAACCTCCGAGCGAAAAGATTCATCGCCAAATACACCATCAACCCTTCTCTAGCTCATGGAATGGCACATCTTATTGGTTCAATAGAGGTTTGTTGACTCGAGTCTCTCTGTCCTCGGATTGGTCATTCTACATCGATTTAATCTTTATGTTTCTAAAATGTAAATTAATGAAAAACAAATATTTTATCTGTATATGTTAAATTTTACGCCATTCGATCAATAGAAAAAGAAGATGGCTGATCTGGTGTTGTGGAAACCGGAGTTCTTTGGCGCCAAGCCTGAAATCATCATAAAAGGCGGCCAGATTGCTTGGGCTCAAATGGGTCAGTACCAAACATATCACAGACTTTGTCATGACTAGTGAAACCGTCTTCAATTATTAACATACTATCGTTATGTGAAATTAGAGAGTCATGATCACATGCAAAAGTCAATAACGACAGTCTGAAGTGTTTCAGCATTGAATCACTTTTAACTGTATCTGATGAAGGTTACAAGTGGGAAATGACAGCTTGAAAAGTCCTTGTATAGTAATATTATATCTGCCTTTGGAGTTTTGAAGAATAGATGGGAAAATGAATCGTCACAATCTCTGATATTAAAGGTGGTAGACACTGCTGGTGAACCTTTGTACAATCTTTAAGAAAGCTGGTGGTAGACACTGCTGGTGGACTTTTATACAATCTCTGATATTAAAGGTGGTAGACATTGCTGGCGGACCTTTGTACAATCTTTAAGAAAGCAGGTGGTAGACACTGCTGGGTGACCTTTGTACAATCTTTAAGATAGCAGGTGGTAGACATTGCTGGCGGACCTTTGTACAATCTTTAAGATAGCAGGTGGTAGACACGCTGGTGGACTTTTGTACGATCTTTAAGAAAGCATGTGGTAGACACTGCTGGTGGACTTTTGTACAATCTTTAAGATAGCAGGTGGTAGACACTGCTGGGTGACTTTTATACAATCTCTGATATTAAAGGTGGTAGACATTGCTGGCGGACCTTTGTACAATCTTTAAGAAAGCAGGTGGTAGACACTGCTGGGTGACCTTTGTACAATCTTTAAGATAGCAGGTGGTAGACATTCCTGGGTGACTTTTATAAAATCTGTGATGTTACAGGTGGTAGATACTGCTGGCGGACTTTTGTACAATCTCTGATATTACAGGTGGTAGATACTGCTGGCAGACTTTTATACAATCTCTGATGTTACAGGTGGTAGATACTGCTGGCGGACTTTTATACAATCTCTGATATTACAGGTGGTAGATACTGCTGGCGGACTTTTATACAATCTTTAAGATAGCAGGTGGTAGACACTGCTGGGTGACTTTTATACAATTTCTGATATTACAGGTGGTAGACACTGCTGAGTGACTTTTATACAATCTCTGATATTACAGGTGGTAGACACTGCTGAGTGACTTTTATACAATCTCTGATATTACAGGTGGTAGACACTGCTGGCGGACTTTTATACAATATCTGATATTACAGGTGGTAGATACTGCTGGCGGACTTTTATACAATCTCTGATATTACAGGTGGTAGACACTGTTGGTGGACTTTTTTTTTTTGGTGGAGTTTGCCCTAACCTGCATGTGACATTTTAATTAACTCTTGTAGTGTTCTGGTTCCGAGCATAATGCACCTCTTTATCTTGATTTCGACATTTCTTTTTTATTTTCCTCTGTTGCAGCCTTAACATCAATGCCGAGTCATAGAAAGGCAATTATATATTATTGCTCTGAATGAATGATGTTATTATCCATCTTCTTTCCTAAACATTTTATGGACATTAGGCGAGTGCTGCTGTTCTTAAATAACTTCCTAAAAGGAAATGACCTTGAATATGAATGTAGTTATATGTAGTTATATGTGTGATTGACCTTTGAACTCAGGTATGCCAAATGCATCAATTCCTACCCCGGAACCAAAGATGCAAAGGAAGATGTTTGGGGCATATGGCAAGGCAGTAGGAGCCCATTCTGTGGTATTTGTATCACAGGTAAGTATTACACTATTGTTAGAACTATAGACATTAACAGCACAGTCCACATGAAAATGACAACTTCCCTCAGATCTTCGTAGGTAACCCCCCCCCCCCATTTTGTTTTCACAATATCAGTGGTGGATATGTCCACCATTCTCTGCCACACATGCCTGACACCTACTTGGCATAGACCGAACTGGGCGTTGGATTCTTTTGGACTCAAGGTTTCTCCATTCGTAATGAATCAATTACTGAAGATTTTTTTAAATATATCATGAAGCGTTTCCATTACTGCTGGATATATTCTTACTCAATTGAATTTGTTTAAAAACTAAGGTGGTGATGTATGTAAACAAAGTGGTAGTCCCTGATATACTTTCTGTTCAAAAGGCATGCATTCTGCTAAACCCAAGAAGTTGACAAATAATTCCCGAAACCATCACTGATATGGCTCCTGATTTAATTGAACTAATTTAATTTAATTGCGCTAACTTTTTGACGCTGAAATACGCCGGAAAACTGTACATAAGTATCCACATAATGTTTTTTTACTATTCCTAAAATTTTAACATCCCTAGTTCAACAAATTGTCTTCTTACTGTTGATGTTCATTCTGTATTCGAAATAAATTGTTCCCTGCAGGCTGCTGTAGACAAGGGTGTAGTGAAAGGATATGGCCTAAGTAAAGGTATTGAAGCCATCAGAAGGTGTCGGGACGTCAGTAAAGACGACATGGTCCTCAATAATTTCCTACCGTTTATCACAGGTAAAAAGTCTAACGCATATTGTCATTTTTTACAGGAAAATAACACCTGGCATATTCGTCACAACATTGACAGGTTCATTTGTCTTTTGCCATTTAGATAAAATCATAAACATTTGTCATATGTGGTTCGCAATTGTTCTTTATCCTTTATCAAAGGTAAGAAATATGAATCGGTATGTTGTCCATGTTTATTTAGACCATCTGTAAAATGGGATATTGAATAGATATTAGAAAGTAATCGGACAAGATACCGGAGTGAAGAATGACTGCACTAATTACAGCGAACGAGATTATAAACAATGCATAGCCTAATTGACTTCCATGGATTAGTACATTGTTACCACCCAATGTATGTATGTAAGATTCTCAATTCTATATTTCTTGATTATAATCTTATCGCCAAATCGTCACACTTCTTTCTACCTTAAAACTCATTAGATTACAATACAGCCGATAAGTCCCTGTACACCATAAACCTGTGTGCAAATATCACGCATAATTATCTAACGGATTATTTTTAAGGACATCTATTCAATCAGAACTGTTTTCCTCATGCTCAGTAGGCTATCGTTAACATTTCGGCTAAGAATATTTAACTGTACATGGTCGAAGAGACAGTATATCGATATAAAAAACTTATGTTCACTGATCCTTGTTTCTTTGTTTTTCTTAGTTGACCCTTGTTCCTACAAGGTGATGGTCAAGAGCTCGGACAATGAGGAAGAGACACCTGTCCACCTGACTTGCCCTCCTGCACGCAGACTCGCGCTAGCACAGAGATATTTCTTGTTCTAGTATGTTGCACAAGAATTATTTAACCTCGATACGCAGAAAACAATAATGAAATAAATTTGAGTGAACACACTAAAAGCAAGAAGAAAAGAGAACAGTGAAAAGCAAGAAGGTGAACAATGAAAAGCAGGAATGTGAACAATGAGAGGCAGGAATGTGAACAGTGAAAGGCAGGAATGTGAACAGTGAAAGGCAGGATGGTGAACAGCGAAAGGCAGGAATGTGAACAGCGAAAGGCAGGAATGTGAACAGCGAAAGGCAGGAAGGTGAACAGTGAAAGGCAGGAAGGTGAACAGTGAAAGGCAGGAATGTGAACAGTGAAAGGCAGGAATATGATAAGTGAAAGGCAGGAAGGTGAACAGTGAAAGGCAGGAATATGATAAGTGAAAGGCAGGAATGTGAACAGTGAAAGGCAGGAATGAGAACAATGAGAGGCAGGAATGTGAACAGTGAAAGGCAGGAATGTGAACAGTGAAAGGCAGGAATATGATAAGTGAAAGGCAGGAAGGTGAACAGTGAAAGGCAGGAATGTGAACAGTGAGAGGCAGGAATGTGAACAGTGAAAGGCAGGAATGAGAACAGTGAGAGGCAGGAATGTGAACAGTGAAAGGCAGGAATGTGAACAGTGAAAGGCAGGAAGGTGAACAGTGAAAGGCAGGAATATAAGTGAAAGGCAGGAAGGTGAACAGTGAAAGGCAGGAATGAGAACAATGAGAGGCAGGAATGTGAACAGTGAAAGGCAGGAAGGTGAACAGTGAAAGGCAGGAATGTGAACAGTGAAAGGCAGGAATGTGAGCAGTGAAAGGCGGGAATGTGATAAATGAAAGGCAGGAAGGTGAACAGTGAAAGGCAGGAATGTGAACAGTGAAAGGCGGGAATGTGATAAGTGAAAGGCAGGAATGTGATAAGGAAATTATAGGATTTAAGAACATATAACTAATACAAATTCTTGGGGATTTTCTTTCAAATCGGTGATATATTTGCAATCAGACAAAATGGTTACAGTGTTATAAATATCGTGACTTCTGTGTGAGGTTTGATATCGCATCTCGTCTTCTAGTAGTAATATTCAGTATAATATGCTTGAAAAAAGACACTTTTTCGGCCAAACCATTGATATGAATAATGATTCTAGTACATTGCCCTGGTTTAAAGTTCCTTAATTCTGTCTATTCACATTATCTTCTCGATCTAATCACTATACTTTGTCTTGAAAGCGAAACTCTTTTATAAGGATGTCTGTCAAAATTTTGAGATTTTCCTTGTTACGTGCAAGTGCTAATTTAAGAATTTAGTGTTTAACGTTATTGACTTAACAGATATCAGTGATTCCAACACAATCATAGCGATAGTATTTTCTCGTTAGACATTTGACAACAAGAGAATCTCTTAACGAGAAACCTTTATTAGACTTGCTTAATGATGTTTCAATTTCAATCTTAGCATATTCACGTTTAAAGTTTTGCATGATTTTCAACAAATATAAGATAGTTTGGATGTTAACTTGTTGAAGAAGGTTTGAGAACTAGTTCAAAGGTATAAGTCTGAGAGCATATAGGAACAAGATATGATAATCGTCTATACCGTTTCAGTTTCCAGAGACAACCCTCGGAGGTTTATTTATTTATTTCCATCACTTTACAAAAACATCCTGTTTTGTGTACTTATTTTGTGGGTAGGAAAAACTAATGATATGTACTGATACTAATTTCAATAATTCCTGGAAATGTAAATTTTGAACACACACGAATAACGAAAATAAATCCCCGACGAAAATGAATGATTTTACAGTATATGTGTGTATACCACATGATATTGTTGTTACACTATCACCTATCAACACTTTCAACTCTAAATGATGAGCCAAGGAAATCAATGAAATCGATCGTAACAAAACGAAATTCATAAATTTTTGGAGTTCTTTCTTAAATTACTACAGGGGATTAATTTTATTGAATTTATATTTGGTTTTAAGATACAATTATTTTGAATTCTCTTTATCATAAAGTTTCTGATGACTTTACGATTTTTTCCGATTTTCATTATGGAGATTTGGCGGGATGATGAATTCCAACTTGTCTGGAACAAAAGTATACAACCTGGAGAGTGTTGAGTGTGAATCCATAGATAGATAAACTGCTATAATAAAGATTTAACACTATTGTTACCGTGCTTCCTAATACATGTATATTGTTTATGTTGTTTGCTGTTAAAATGATTTATACACCATTATTATATGGAAATTGTTTACTTATTTCTGGAAAATAAATTTGATAACTGCGAATGTTCATAGTTTTGCTTATTAACTATCAAAGGACAAAGCTTAAACACGTTCTGTTTGAATTCTCGTTCTGCTTTGAAACGTTTTACAAAGAAACTAGTTCCATGCTTCGCTTTTGTGCAACTCTGATTATGAGGCTCAAACTTGATTCTTACGACATTGAGGTTCGTTTGATCATTTACATGTAGCGGTTTGGAAATAGCAAAACAATAATGATGTATCGCTTAAATGCCCCAATACCCTTTGTTTGACTGCAAAATTAAAAATACGAGTTAACGTCCGTTATTATAGGTGGAGTACAAAATACTAACCATGTTTTTTTCTGTCTCCTCAAGTACCGGAACAATATCTTCACTTGGACATTCTCTGGGTCAAATATAACAATTTCTCTGATGATTTTTTCACACTTTATTGGACTTACATTAAACCGGGTCAGACATATGTTTAAGCAATAGATGTGATACTAACAGATGCTTGATTCGATACCCGTTTACTCGTTGGGTTTTTAATACTGCTGGAAGTAACTATCTTATTGATTGTCAACTCTCTCATGTCCCAGTTTTATGTTAATAGCTGTTGTTCATTGCTGCAGCTGAATAAGATTCTCTGAACAGACGGTATTTTCGGACTAAATTAGCAGACCAAAGACGTATATAGCACACCAGATCTCGATCTGAATAATAATTATTTTGGTATTTTTTTAAATACACAGTTCTATTGAAATCTGTTGACGTATATCCTAGTATTTATATGCTATAAACTTAATATTACACCTCATACTGCCTCCTTTTCATGTGGTCATTATGACTTATATTTACAACGCCAGCGGTTTGTGTCGACTGGCATTTTGTCTGTACTAATAATGATTCATGTAAAAAGATAATAATACGGACCTAATCAATCAGTGTTTACATCTAGAGCATTTGAAAGGTTTATCAAATGGCATTGCCTATTTACAATATGCGATGCGATTGAAATGTGCAGTTTAAAACCTTTACAACATCAATCTGTTATGAGTGTAGTTTGAATATCTGTCGCTGTACTACCTGCTTCTATCAGAACATTATGACTCGGTAATCTGGAAAGTCTCAAACCAAAAATAAAGCCCGTTATAACATAATGAAAATGGTGGTAGAGAACTTGTTTTCCTTCAGGAAAATATAAAGGAATTCGAGGCTGACACCATCAATCTTTTTGTATGCTCAAAGTTATGGTGACCGATGATCTTGTATTAGAATGACTTTGTAGCTGTGAAAAGTTAATAATAAAAAAAACGACGGATTTTTAATTTGCCTGAAATGTGAAGAATATATTGGAATTTAGAAAGATATGTTATTTCATTGTTGAGTTTAGTGGTAAGATCTTCTGACAAGACTATTGGTAAGCTTCTGGGTACTGTCCCTTTGTTGGCTGGTTTGTCTTTGTTTTCATGCTGATACGAGGCTGATCTATTATAAAGCGTATTAAATAAGGTCGCATAGACCTTGCAAAGTCCTTTATTTTCACATTCAGATGTATTTATGTCATCTTGTCTCTATATCGGCCGCTTCTCTCATTTTTTTCCCTTCAACGAATCCAAGATGGACAGCTTTCCACCAAGATGTATGATAATTCCCTTACTGTGATTTTTTTCATTTCTGGATAGCTGCAACCCTGCGACCTAAACCTATAGTGTTAACATGTCGTTGTTGATTCGATGTTCAAGAGCCAGTTCCAATTATTACGTGCAAGAAGTTGTCAACTGACTGACAAACTCGTGACAAAGGGTTTCAAAACATGCAGGAAGATTGGAATTATGTTTTCCAGTTCTACAGTCGTCAAAGTGATCTCATCTTATCTGATTTTATTCTCTTTCTGCATGCGAGATGAAGCTGGAAGTGTTTGATATTAGATTGTCTGCCTATTTAATACGTTGTTCCTATTTTAGAACATGGCATTATTGACCAAGATTTGCATGGCGGGTATTGTCGATAAAGCATAAGGCGCTTACTCTTCTGGAACACCTAGTCTTATTCTCTTTGTACTAATGGATGGAAGTTCGTCTAATTAAATGCTTTAAGTACCGTACAGTATCCAATGTCCATCAACAGATACATAATAAAATAAAGATATGATACAAAAAGCGTTTTATTTCACATGTATATTTCAAGAGGAATGTACAAATATGACAATACGTTTCAATTATTCCTGACAAGGAACATGAACATCTTCCTTATCTCATATCTTTTCATTCTTCTTTAAAGTCATAGTGTCGCAGCACGTGAGCATTCTCAAGCCATTATTATCAAATAGGAGGAAAATGTGAAGCATCTTACAGTATACTTGATAGCAAGATGTCAGTTTATTCTGAAACGCCACGTCAGTCTCAGCCATATCTACTTGAGACTTATTGACAGTGATACTCGAAAACGTTGAAACCTGATGCCGGTACGGATGATGAAGGAGAGGGGTTGGTAGGCACACATGACTGTCTAGTAGGGCAGACACATCTGTTACACAAAAAGTAAACAAAGGGTATAGTCGAATCTTCCAAAAGCTTAGAATAGGTCACTTTAAAGGACTATTACGGTCAAACACTAAATTGCTTTATCTGTGATAGTTAAATTTGATAGTAGCTTACTGAACTCGAAATATCCGCATCATTATCCAAACAGCGATACACAAAATATGGATAGTTAATATTAAACATCTATGAAAGAAGGGGAAACCAAGATCGGGAAAATACTTACGTGCTCAAGAGGTAGTTACAGGAATCATCGGGATCCAACAGATCCTGTCTCCACTCACACACGGCATAACCACAGACCATACTGGAGGAACACCTCATTTCATATGGTTCTAGTGTCAGGGTCTAAACACAAGCATATACAAAAATTACTATGGGCCAAATTAGAGGACAATTCATCACGTACGGTTCTAGTGTCAGGTTCTAAACACATGCATATACAAAAATTACTACGGGTAAAATTGGAGGTCAATTCATTTCCTACGGTTCTAGTGTGAAGGCCTATATAGAAATATAAATAGAACCTAGTAAGTAATATCGACGGTATGGTCCAATATTGGTATTGGATCCTAACAAACAAATGTTCGTTGAATGAGAATTACTGGAATAGATATATGATCAATGAAGTAATGACGACAGTACGAACAAGTGAATTTATAAAGAGACTTTAAACTGTGGCGCGTGCGAGGATTGTCCACTCTCGCACGCAAAAGATCCCTCTGTGGCCTTTCGTAAAAAAGAGTAGGAGTGCTAAGGGTGTTCCAGGGGTCCAAGGATAGTGTCAGATTTTACAATTATTTTTAAGGCAGTAGATGAACTTTAACATTATCCTAACACAAACTAAATCTAGACAGGCCCCCAAACACATCCTTTCAGCTTCTGGAAACGAATAACCTGCCCCCACACGTCTCCAGAAAAGAAGGTATTATCGAGAAACTTAAATTTACACCACCGCTCTCGATTAAACTTTATAACATTGTATTTGTTTTATGTTCTATGTATGTGATGTAATTTCTTAATTACTTCATTAATCATATATACATAAACAGGGGCCATACTAGAAGAACATTTCATTACAACCTCACCACCCCCGCCCTCTTATACATCCACAATGACGTCATCATAGGACCGAAATTTGGTACCGGGAATGGCCTTTTTCCATTTTTGAAATAGAATGCCTGATGGAGCAAAAGCATTCAAAGCAAATGAGGCTCAATCAATTCAATGCCATAATCTTTAATGGCAGTCATGGCAATGACAGACTTGCGAACAGGAACAATGTCCTGGCGGAACAACACTCTTTTACTGAGATTTCCGCGGCGCTTAAGTTTGATATTGTCTCTTAACTGCATTAGATGTGATGCATAATATGTTTCATTGATTGTCCCGTTTGCAGGTAATCTATCATCAGCATCCCAGAAAACCGAGGCCATAACCCTTCCAGCTGGTGGAACAGTCTTTGCCTTCTTTGGCAGGGATGAACCAGGGTGCTTCCAAAGTTAAGACTTTTGTTTGGCATCTGGGATAAAATGACCCAAGTTTCATCCATAATCACAAACCTTTACAGAAAGTTAGCAGGATCTGTCTTTAAAAGGTTCAGATTAACACTATTCAAAGTCCTCCTGATGTGAATCTGATCAACAGTCAGAAGTCTTGGTACCGAAGAGGCTGAGAGAAGTCTCATTGCAAGATCTTGATCGTCCGTAAGAATGGAATGCACTATTCATGTACTGCCTATATACATGTATATTTATCTGTAACTCGCTTGTCATCCATAGCAATATCGTGGACTGTACTGCCCATTTCTGGGGTTGCAACAGCGACAGGCCTTTCAGGACGGGCGGCATCCCCAAGGCTCTGTTTGCCACGCTTAATTTCCGCCACCAACCTTCTCACTGCAGCACATGAAGGGACAACATTACGTAGCGTTGCTATGGGTATCCTTAGGTGCTAGACCTTTATTATGCAAATATCAATGCACTTGTCTTTCAGCGATTTTGTCCATTTTACAAAAGTCACCTGCCGTGTTTACTTTAGAGAGCTACGTCTTCGACATAAACTGATCAAATGACACCAGGCTTCGGGTACACAGCCTTAAATACTAGTAGAGCCGAAAAAGGACAACCCTGCTAAAATTCTTCGATGCAATCTCACAACTTATCAACCAGTCCTGGTAATTCTCTCATCATTTCTGTATGTATATATTTCTTTGCCGGTAAAACAATAACAAAATTCGTGCACAACAATGATATTTTGTTGATATACACAGTATGACTGTACCAACTACTTACGTCTGCGAAGCGCCTGGTAGAAGGATGTGATCGTTCAACCTGGAAAACATAGATATGTACAAAGGTATGCAACAATGACATTGAAAATCGGAAGGAAAGATATTAAAACGGTTAACAACGTAGAATGCATGAGTAACATATCGAATCCCTTGCTGTTGATTCGAAATAGTTGTTCACGGATAATTATGATCTATGAATATAAAAACGATATCGTTAAAAATGCTTATAATTACAAATTAACAAAAAAATACCAACTTGTCAATGTAATCTTAATGCGATTACACTTACTTGAAATATGACCAAAAGAAAGTTTCACCACTGGGACTCATGAAAGAAGAATAAAACCAGGTGTTCCAGAAGATGAAGTGTCTTTTGTTTTATCGAAGATATCCGATTTAGTATTTTCAATTTGATAAAGTTTTCAATGATACTTATTTTCCTTAAAAAGGAGGAAAATAAAATGTACGATAAATGCAGGGTAAAGCCAATATAATCCAGAGCTATTGCTACATAAAATTGATTTTATCAGCTTGACAACATCCGTAACTTTTACAGGTATTATGTATGTCGTCCTGGTAATTATTTCATACAATTAGGTGTGACCGGTACGTACTCAATGCTGTAATTTCACTGACCATTAACATCCATTTATTTATAAAGTTCAATGTCATTCATAAGTGACCTGGTCAATAAGCAGGTGACAGCATTAGCACACACAAGAGATGACCAGAAGTTTACTGCCAGATTGATCCACCACACTAATGTCATCAGATTTGCGAATAGTGTTGTCATTAACAGTACAATTTAGGTACCAATTATGATATCGGGGCTAATGAACCTTACCTTTTAGCTTCCCCAAAGGACGAAGCAACTGTATGATGCAATTTCAGACATTGTTTTCTTTTTGTTTAGTTCTAAGTTGAGAGATGTTATTCATTTTGTGTTTTATTTTGTACGATGTTAAATTTCAATATTATTTGAGACTTTTGGAAAGCACGATGACCGCCAAATGGTCATCTTTAATACGTACGTATCAATGATGTACAAAGAGGATATTGAATGGGTTAGTTAGTGCTGGTCTCTGACCATCCTACATTACATAGAATTTGTGTTGTTAAGGACACAGATGTACATGTCAGACCCCGTAATTAGAAACAGCAAATTTAACATAACCAAATGAACCAAAAGTAAAATGAGAGACACGCATACTCTCTTTCAAAAGCTGAATACCGCAATATTTTCTGACAATGCAGCTAACAGGGACACATTAACATGACAATGTTTGATACTTTCAATTTCGCTATTGTGAATTTACCATTTCAAGGCAGTTGCTTCCCTGCGTCAAAAATATTTATTGTTTTTATATCACGTTATTTTTCCATGATTAATGTCGACAGCTGTTAATAAGCTTCTAGCAGATAGTTAGAAAATCCATTTTAAGAAGACTAAATTGGTTCGTGTTTAAGAACGATATGTTATTTTGACTTACCTAAATATACACGCCTAATGTTTTCGCTGTGTGGAATATCTTACCGTTTTATATATATATATTCATATTTTTGTACTCGTTTTATCTATGTTTTTGCTTAAATTATTAGCATCATTTGGTATCAGGTTAGTGTCTCCCTTTTTTGGAGTTCTCGTAAACACAACATTTCACATTTGTTTCTTATAAACCATACAGCAAAGATCAGAAATCTTTGGCAAATCCAAGAACTATTCCACATCTATCATTTAATTTATCACGCAAAATAACCATCAGGATTGTATTAGTTTGATAAACGGGATTCACTGTGACCATATTGTATCGACAATGTTAGCTAAATTACAAATTAAAGAGAAAGCAAAATAAACGCAAATAAATTAAGTCCATATGTAGATGTAAATTTTCTCACATATTTCACAGAGTGATTGCTAGGGACAGGATAACAACTCTATGTTACAAGGAGTCAAGACAGACAGCTGACATGCGTTATGATGCTACGTAGAATCCTAACTGTTGATAAACTTTCATTTAGCCAAATCATGCACGCTTATAAAAATTAATACACAGCATATCTTTTCTACTGGTTATAAATAGGTCACTCATTCTTACAACTGTTAGGAATAGAATGCGGCGATTTGCACATGGAAGATTTGGCAATTCATAACAAATAGGGAAATAGCTTCCGCTATTGAATAGAAATATACTATTCAATTTCATATAAAGTTTAACAAATTTCTTTATAAAACAAAAAAAAATACATTGAGTTTTAGTCAGATCACCTTATTAATGGTTCAGACTACCGTTCTATTTGAATTATTTTTTCCATATTTCAAGGAACAAGATGAAGTCTAAAGTTCTGACAATCAAATACATCGATTGTGAAAACTCATCATTGTTACGATTTTTTAGCACAATACTTTCTATGTTTTTAAATTGTAACGGAAACTGGAAAACTAGAGCGCATTTTATCTTTGATTGAAGTAGTTTTTACACAATGAAATATAACAATATTAGCAATTACTGCAACTAAACCTTAAAGTGACAAAGAAAACTTACCTTCCTGTATCCAGTAGCGTATGATGACACTGTTGATGATAATGTCAATATAATCATGGCTAGAATTGCCGACGAAACAACAGCCATTTTGACAGTGTGTATTACAGCTGGTGTTGTATCGACAGTCGTTGAGCTTGGTTCGGTACTGACCAACAAATGCCTTTTATAGACCAGGTATGTCTGTGTAAATACAACGTCATCACTTTTCACACCTAGTCCGTGTGCAAAATGTCGCTCTATTTCCTCACCACGGAAATATAATTACATATTTAACCTGACCAAATGGACCCCTGTTTGGTCGCCGTGAATTCTATCATTACTCACGACAGGAGCTTATGAAGAATGCCGGTAATGACCGGATTGCACACAACCGTCCCTAGACAAGGCATGGTCATAACACTTCTCGCCTCAGCTTTTTATTCTTCCCTGACCGACGATTTCAAATAATTAAATGGCATCACTTTATCAATTAATGTATGAAAGTGATTAGTTAAACCAATGTTACTCTCGGTAATACATTGTTAATATCTTATTCCATTGAGATACAATTGCATAAATACGGTGGCCAGTAATTGGTTGTATTACCTTTGTCCATCACAAACTTTCTAACAATATATCATTTAGTAGTCGCTCGTCTTTGTAACGACCTGTGACAACTTAGCGTATTTCTAATGTCATTAGTTCAATTGGGCTGTTATTGTATAATTTCAGCTAATCAATATTGTATATGCCAGTTGCATTTTATCTTGAACATGTGTAAGACGAACTATACGTTCAACATGCTATCAGTTATAAATAAAGTTAATTATAACTTTTATTACTGGTATCTACATCCCTTTCACAGCACTACATACATTAGTTACAAAAAGTCACATTAGATACAATAAGCTTGATAAATGAAAGTTTTCAAACATTAAAAAAAATAGCCACTGATCATAAAACTATTAGGACAAAACATCTTCCCTGATGCTTATTCAGGTGGCCACACAAAATGACACTCCCTACAGAGAGTGTGATTGTGTAGCGCCAGTATTCGCAGTAGGCTAAAATCGTCAGATACAGCTGCCATTTCTATAAAAGTTATCCACAGAAGACAATCGTTCATTGAGATATGTCGTTCAGCCTACTCGTTTACTCTGTGGGCCTTAGTAATGCGTTTCAAAAGTACCACGGACGATAGTGCCATCCGTGTTGACTTGTATTAAACAGCTACATGGCTAAATAGTAGTACAAAAAGACCTCTCAGTACACATCTTTATTTCTCTTTACAGGCAAGTTTTCATTTTCTGCAACGATCAGATTGGCTTTGTCCGAGTGCATCAGTAAACAAGGTAAATTTAACGTAATGGTTAAGATGTGAGCTCGTGCATGTTGGACAGTCCTCTTATATACCGGTAACAAATGACCATTGCACTTCATTGCAGTTAAACCATTGTAGAACATCCGCTGTACCATTGTCATTATTTGTTGGTACTGTACTTTGACTGGTTAACCTTAAGTTATATTACGAAATACATTTTTTTCTGTTATACTGAACCCACCAACATATAAAATGGGCCTGTAGTGTGTAAGTTTTGGGTCATGACTGAGGAAAGCTAGTGATACGGAGATGACACGACCTCTACTCCGACTCGTATTGAATAGTAGGATTGATGGGTTATCGTGATTTACTTTGTCACAATTAATAATAGCTGTGAACATCTGCCATACTTATATCCAATGTTGTTTTTTTTTATTGAAATTGGTATATGATCATTTCATACACATACAGCTCTACAGAACAGCTTCATCAATGAATGATACTATTAATCGCAATAAAACTGTTTCAAAGCAAAAACGAAAGAAAATACTGATCTGGATCCAGACATCATTAATGAAGCGAGACTCGCACTGATGACAATCACGGAAAATCACTCTTGGATTTTGATGTATAATGATGTTCTACCGGGTATACCTGTGGTGTTTGGGTTTCAGTTTCGGTCATATCTAGGATTTCACTACTAGATATAGTATCAAGTTGAACTATTGGGCTTGGGAAGCTGACCGGGCCATATACCATTTCGTAATGCCCTCTGCACATGCGCGTCCTAGGAGATGATGGCGAAAGAATGTTTGGCGTTTCAGTAGCACTTGGCTGCGAGTTATTCAGGACACAGTTTTGTTGATGATGATTTATTTCAGACAGCTCATTATCGATACCTTTTCTAGCTTCTGTGCTGCAGTATCCACTGACTTCATCAAGAAGATCACCGAGAGACACAGCAAACGTCGATGACATTATATCTGTATCATTTCGTAACTTCAAGTCCGAGTCTGACTTAGTTGCACCATCTATGGATTTTCTTTTCTCTCTTTCAAAGCACTTCACCAGGCTTTCAACCACATTTGCGGAGTCATCAACCTTATCAAAAGAACCATCTTTCAGTGTAGCATCCCACGAACCGTCATCAAAAACCTCACTGTCGTCCAAATCAGGCATTGGGCACAGTGTACTACTTTGGTCACTCTCGTATTGATCATCGTCAGACTCGGATGTTATTGATGGTGTGAGTCGGCTCGTGACTTCGGGGGTGTGCATTTCGTGATACTCACCTCTTCGCGTATTATCAAAAGAGGACAATTTATGTTGAGAGTCATTTACATTATGTCCGTGTTTGTGAGTTACCTTGTCTTTGAGGCTGTGATTACTTGAATTTGTCTCGTGAATTTTTGATGAATCTTCTTGACTATGTGACCTGTCAATATAATCTGAACGATTTGTAGTTTGTTGTGAAGTATATTCATCAATTTGGTGGGAAGTTGTTGTCGACCGCTTTGCCCCTAGATCTAAACATTCCTCGGTTTGGCTTTTGACGGGAATTTCACTGTCAGGACTGTCGACAGAGTTATCTATTAAGTTGATATACAGATCTTCCTTCTGAGGTCGCTGTGTAACCTGTTCGGGAAAGTATGTGTTTTTATGAACAAACTCACACATGTCCACATACATGTCGTCTTTTTCGAGATTGGATGGCTGATACGTATAATAAACGGGTGTATATTCCATGTCATCTTCTGAATGCTTAGCCTGTTGCTCCGGTTCATTATGTTCTCCGTGAGTAGTAGATGTCATTTTGTGGACAATATCTACGTCTTTGTCTGAACGATACATTGCTGTATCTCCATCTAGTCGCAATATGGAGTCGGACGTGACAATGACCAACCCATCTTCTGTTTGCCGTGCAGCACTCATGTCTGTGTAATCTTCCTCTGGAAGCGACGACATCTGATGATCGGAACCAATTGTTGAAATCTTTCCTTCAGGTCTAGTGGGTGGCACCTGGTGTAGGGCGCTAGTAGTTGAAATATTTTCTGCCGATGCAGTTAACAATGCATTATGTGCCGGACCAGCGGTAGAAATTTCCGCCGATCTAGTTGATGATATTTGATGTGCGGGTCCATGCGGTGGCATCTTATCTGCTTGTCCAGTGGACGATACCTGATGTACGGGAATAGGTGACACATTATCTGTTGGTCTAGTTGAAGATGTTTTGTGTGCGGGACTATGTGCAGAAATATTCTCTGTTGGTCTGTTTGATAATAGCTGTTGTGTTGACATCTTATCTGCTGGCCATGAAGACGATACATGGTGTGTGGAACTAGGTAATGGAATATCCTCTGTTGGTCTAGTTGGCAATACATTGTGGGCGGGACTTCGTGTCGACATCATATCTGCTGGTCTCGAAGACGAAACCTGGTGTGCAGGACTTGTTGCAGACGTTAATTGATGTGAAAATGTACTCCCCAATGGAAGCTGACTAGTTAAAGACTTACCCATGTAATGTTTGTTGTCATTGACACTGCTATTTTGAAACGATACCGTCTTTTTCGCTTTTATATTTGGACTACTTTTTGTTTTTCTGTCAGCTTTTATCAGTAAGATCTTAGATTTGATTTCAGGAGATGTCTGTACTTCGTATGCGTATCCATGAATTTCTTTTGGACTCTTCTGTGTTCTGCTTTCTTGTTCCAAGTCGTCATAATCCTGACGACTTCGAGTTTCAGTGTTTGATACAGACTTCCTTTCTACAAGAGGATGAACTGATGAGAGGGCTGGAAGACTGCGACTAATCGGCCTTTGCTGTAGATTGGATACGTTTTGTATCTGGAAGTCTTTGTAATCCTTTTCTGAAATTTCTAACCACGAGTCGTCACTGTGTATGATGCTACTGTCAAGGTTGGTTGAAACATCGGCTTCTTCCGATTTCTCATGTGTTTGAGACTCTGAGTCATTTTTTTCTTTTACATCTGCAACAGATGATACAATAAATAACCTTTTTACGTCATATTCTTTTTATAACATATTCAATCAAATAGGCTCTAAAATTAAAAAATCACCATGAAACACCGTTTTTGTTAAATCGTTCTATGAATATCGACACTGATGCATTACCCATTTAATACAATAACATAAGCTTACCTTTACTTTTCTTAGGAAGTTTACGGTTCGTATTCCTAAAGATAACCAAAACGTAAAGAATTACATGACCTCATTGTTATATTTGAAATGTACAAACATTAAACATGATGCATAAGTACTAGATAACGGCAACAGCGATGTGACCTTCACTGCTATTTTAGAAATCATTTCAAAGTTTACATAAGCAGATACTTATTACAATGAAAAGCCAGTAGAAATATTAAAACATTTCTGTTTACCAATAGAAATGACGCTTTCATTGCATTGAAATTCGTCGAGTTTTCTGCTCAAATGATAAAGGGGAAAACATTAGGAAACATTTTCACTTGCGTACCTGTGTAAACTGCAGGTTTTTGAAAATTCGTATATAAGAAGTTTTGCACTCTTTCTTTAGCGGGAACCGAACTTGTAAAGGTAGAATATTGCTATAGTGTTCAATTCAAAATGGTAGCGTCTTGTTGTCAAGTGACTATCCAGCTTAAAAAAATTCTTCTGTTACCCTCGTTTTTGTCTGATAACAGATTTGTTTTATGTTTGGATAGACTTTTCTAATATTATTTTCTAACAAAGTGTGATAAAATTATTTCTATTTGAATTATGTTTCATTAGTATGACAAAATGTATCGATATT